TTTTAACTTTAATCAATCCACGAAATTGCACGACAATCTCCATTGTCTTCGATAGGCAATTAGCACAGATTAAACACGGATTAGTTTCACTGGTCACGGCTGCTCACTAGAACTGTGAGTATTTCCTCTCAAAGCCAATCACTAGTTACCCCATGAAAATTTATAGTATGGGTGTAATGATTTAAATGACGTTCTCTAGTCTTCACAACCCACAATGAAACTACGATCTACATTAAATCAAACTTTAAGTCTTTGGATATCCTGGTTACTATTTTATTTTCAAGACACTTGGTCAGAATTTGCACGTCTTCATTTATAACATCAGAGTTATTCTTGTCAAATATAATGATGAATGTATAATAAAAATAAAAAAATCTCAAAAGATTAGTTTCAAATTCTTGGAGATAAATGCAAAACGAAGAGTATAAAATGAATACTTTATAAGTAAATTTTGTAGAGTAAAAAGGGAGATGTAAATTGAGATGAAGACTTAAAGTTTATTATTTATTTCATAACTCTATGAAACTTATGTAAATCTGCTTTTTTGAAAGAAAAAAATTATTTAAAAATATTTATCAATGATGGCTCTTTTAGGAAGATGTGGAATCTTTCACGTACTTAGGAAGCATCATCGATGAACAAGGAGGATCTGATGCAGACGTAAAGGAAAAGCTTGGCAAAGCAAGAACAACATTCTTATAATTGTAAAAAATATGGAACTCAAAACAACTGTCAAACAACCTACTGAGGAAGCAAATAAACCAGCTTCGAGCTGAGGAGGAAATCAGGAAAAAATGTTGGAAGTGGATAGATCATACATTTCGGAAATTATCAAACTGCATCACGAGGTAAGCCCTAACTTGGAATCCTGAAGGAAAGTGGAAAAGAGGAAGGTCAAAGAACACAGTACGTCGGGAAATAGAATCAGATATGAGAAGGAGGAATAGCAACTGGAAAGAACTAGGAAGGATTGCTCAGGACAGGATTGAATGGAGAATGCTGATGGTCTGTCTATGTTCCTCCGTGAGAGATAACAGGCGTAAGTCTATTAGGAAATGTTTATCTAAGAAAAATATTACATTTAGTAAAACATTTGATTATATCATATACGTGTTCAGTTAATAATAAGTTTGATAGAGTTTCGTATAAATAAATAATCACATCTTTCCAAGAGATTATTAGTCAAATTCATTGAGAATGATAACAATCAGTTTTATGATAACATATGTTCAAACTGTCAGCTATCAAAGTTGATCTAAAATAAACTATACAGTTAGGAATATCAATTTTGTTTACTGGTTATAAATGTTATTCAATATTAAACTATGATTAATGACCATGATAAATGTGTATTTAAAGTTTTATAACAAACAAACAGAAGTTGTTCTAGTTCTCTTAAGAAGAAATACTAACAAACATTTGTCAAATGAGTTATTTTTAGCATGAAAAAAGGATGATCACATATCTTCCTAAAAATTTTCTACTCGCTTTATTGAGTTTAGGTTGTTTTTGATTTTGTAAGATTATTTAAAACATAGTAATATTAGGATTATAATTATGTAATCTTAACATATACATAACCATGAAAATCGTGTTAACGCTGTTGTAAACGAGAGCAGAATTTCTTAGTAAAATCTGAGAACCATCTAATAAATACTTCATTTGGAAAGTATAGATCGATTGTCTCAGACTTTGTTGTTCCTTTGTTCCTATACTAATCACTTTCAGTTCTCGCTTTCTTCTCTTCGATCTTTTCAACCTTCTGCCGCCAGGTATTTCACTTTCGATTGATGATACGTACTACTTTTATCTGTTGATATCAGTAGCACACACTATAACGCAACTCCTTTCTTTTGGTTGTTGAAAAATAGTTTTCGTTAAAATATTGAGCAATTCATATCAAACAAACCTTAATTATATATAGAATTATAAATGAATTATTATTATTTATATTATTACTATTTAGGATAAACAAAGAAAGTCTATCAGATTTACGTAATAATTTACGTGATTAGACCTTGTAAACTGATTGGTTTATTCTATGGACAATTTAACATAGACAACAAAAATAATAAGGAAATATATTGACATACTACAAAAGAAAACCACTTGTAAATACTTTATGAATATGAAAAATAGTTTGCAACTTGTATGACTTATTCTCCAGATAAATAAATGTATGCCACGAGTCATGTGAGATGTTAATTAAAATAGAACGATATTATAGGTACTACTGTAGTGAAATGAACAAGGGTGGGGACAATCGAATTGTATTTAGCACAAAATTACAGAGTAACTTGATAAAATAGAAAAATCATACTATAATACTTAATTTGCGAAATGATCAATAATTGTCTCGAACTTCGTTGTTCTTGCGTTTCCATACTAATTGCTTTCTACTCCCGCTCTTCCTTTCCTGATGTTCCACATCTTCTGCTGCCAGACATTACATTCCTGACTCGCGTCATATACTACTTATATCAATATAAGTAGCACGCACCACACTACTATTACTACTACTACTATCACTACTACTACTACTACTACTACTACTACTACTACTACTACTACCACTACTACTACTACTACTACTACCACTACTACTACTACTACTACTACTACCACTACTACTACTACTACTACTAAGACTACGACTACTACTACTATTATTACTACCAATACTACTAGAACAACTACTACCATTACTACCGATACTACTACTACAATCTGTACCACTACTGCTAATACTAATACTACCGATACCTTTATCATTGTTTTTACTAAAAACAATGATATTGAATTTAAACCAATTAAGTTTACTTATAAATATACCTTTAACCTTGGTGACTTAAACTTGTTCGTGGAATAGACTAATTGTTAAAATTATTTATTTGGTTTAAACAACAAAAGAATATGACCTATTTGTTTGTATATGGTGAATTTAAAAATCAACATTCATGTGAAATTTATCAGACATGTTATTAATATAATATTCAAAATTGAATCTTATCACTAAGCATTTGATAATGCTTGTTAGCAAATGAAAATTAACCAGTTCAGTACTACTGTAATAGCAAAAATTTGGTGGGAATAATCAACTTACTGTTCAGTGTAAAATTACGGAGTTTCTTGGTAAAATGTGAAAAGCATACATTAAATACTTCATTTGTAAATCCTCTTTCAGTTGTCCTTTGGATTTTTCATGATTCTTCCAATTCTTATTTTCTTTATGTTTCTCCTTTCTGTCTGTGGACATAAATAGCACACACCACATTACAAGTAATTTGGTTTCACAACCCGTATGTATAAACATAAATTCAAACTTCAGATGAATTCGAATGTCATCCATGTAGTAATTCAAAATGAGCAACGTAAGTGATGTATGAAAACTTCCTTAACCTGAAGGCCGATTTCATTTTCTTTTGTCATGAACTAGTGACATAATAAGCAATAAGTAATTTTTTATTTTGTTACAGACCAGTTACTGACCAGTTATTCTATCTTCTGATCTCCACTCATGGTGGACTTGCTTCATTTATTCGAGTTTGTAGGTGACCATCAACTGGCCACAAACGATTCAAGTGATTATTCTCATGTATCACTCAACTCACACAAGTTTTCTACCATTATCATGGTTAGCTATAGCTGATAATTCAAAAATGGGATTATAGTTATAAAGAAATGAATTTACTACGTTCTGATAGAAAGCCAAAGAATTTGTTGCCGATAATCTCCACGAAAAAATTACTTTTGACAGGTTTGTATAGATATGAAATGAGTATAACTTTATTTCATCGGTTCTTTAATGCCTATTAAGGATATTTGAGGACAATTATCAATATTGAGAGTTCGAATTCATGTCTACTTACAGAAGGACTTAGGCACATCTACTGACTAGCTAAAATCACCCAAAAATATGATACACCAAGCCTGGTTTCAGTTAATCTGAGGTATTCGACAGAAAGTGTCACGTCTAAAGTATTTGAAAGTTTTGGTGATTGGAAAAATGTATGTCTTTAAGCTCAAAAGTAATCATTATATATTGAGATACATATCCATAATGAGGGGAGTCTGCTCATATATAAGTCAAAGTTGGTGAGACTATGATTTATGGACGACCTTTGATTGACACTACATTGACCTTGATGATCACGTACTGGGTTATAAATTAGTGTCAGGAATCAGGATTAGGATTTTTAATTGTACGTTAGGCTGAGTTAGAATTAGGGATTTTAGCCCGAAATGACAAGCTATTGTGCCAATATGTTATTTAGCCAAAAGAAAGAATGAATTTTGCACCAAATTCTTAAATCCGATTGGATAGTTCACAAATTATAGTCACTCCATCACTTGTTATGTATTGTTTCGTGAACGTTAAATTTAGTCAGCTGATGTCAACACTTGTGATATCGTAGTTCATATACATATTTTAACCACCTTTTCCCTTTACCTGATTATTAACTTAACAGTTAATAACTTACCTAACTGACTGATAAGGTTACAATGGAAGCTTCAAAATTAAACCGTTCAGGTCATAGTTTTCTATTTTAACAAAATCATTTTCTTGAGTTAAAAATGTTCCCTACCATTTCCAGTGGATCCTTGTTATTCAGGTAAATATATGGTAATAATAATTTATGAACTATGCGATATAAATTACTCAAGAATATTAATAAAAATATTATCAGGAGGAGAAAATTGCAGAGTTGGAAGGGTACAATTGGTGTTATGAGTATTTGTGATACGTCACCTCATAATTTATGAAAATCAATCATATCGTGTATATAATCAGTTGTATGTCATCATCATCATCATCATCATCATCATCATCATCATCATCATCATCATCATCATCATCATCATCATCATCATCATCATCATCATCATCATCATCATCATCATCATCATCATCATCATCATCATCATCATCATCATCATCATCATCATCATCATCATCATCATCATCATCATCATCATCATCATCATCATCATCATCATCATCACATCATCATCATCATCATCATCATCATCATCATCATCATCATCATCATCATCATCATCATCATCATCATCATCATCATCATCATCATCATCATCATCATCATCATCATCATCATCATCATCATCATCATCATCATCATCATCATCATCATCATCTCATCATCATCATCATCATCATCATCATCATCATCATCATCATCATCATCATCATCATCATCATCATCATCATCATCATCATCATCATCATCATCATCATCATCATCATCATCATCATCATCATCATCATCATCATCATCATCATCATCATCATCATCATCATCATCATCATCATCATCATCATCATCATCATCATCATCATCATCATCATCATCATCATCATCATCATCATCATCATCATCATCATCATCATCATCATCATCATCATCATCATCATCATCATCATCATCATCATCATCATCATCATCATCATCATCATCATCATCATCATCATCATCATCATCATCATCATCATCATCATCATCATCATCATCATCATCATCATCATCATCATCATCATCATCATCATCATCATCATCATCATCATCATCATCATCATCATCATCATCATCATCATCATCATCATCATCATCATCATCATCATCATCATCATCATCATCATCATCATCATCATCATCATCATCATCATCATCATCATCATCATCATCATCATCATCATCATCATCATCATCATCATCATCATCATCATCATCATCATCATCATCATCATCATCATCATCATCATCATCATCATCATCATCATCATCATCATCATCATCATCATCATCATCTTTTGTTTTTGTGTTTGCTTAGAACAACCGGTTACACTTATTTTGATTTATCTGGTTATTAAATAATCACGAATTTTTTCCGTTTTTTCTTTCTTTCTAACCAAACACGCACAGTATTCTTAATTGAATGATTTCTTCTTCATGACAAATTTTTGTCAATTAAACATTAATTAAGAGATGAGCAAAAGGTAACGTAACAACAGTTCATTTCCTTCCTTAGAATCAGTGTTAATTAGTTATTTTATCCGAATCACATGATGAAAATCATAGGCGATAGAATTCACTTCGAATTTCACATATACGTATACAGCCTGTTTATCGAAATATTTGGTATCACTAAATAAAACCCTTGAAGCTAATCGACGTTTGTAATACCACGTACTAAACATATGATGCTTATCTTTTATAAATCACTTGGTCAAATCAAAAGGGGTTTAAATTAATTTCCAGCTTAGGATAAATATTATTATTATTATTATTATTATTATTATTATTATTATTATTATTATTATTATTATTAGAAGCTTTATTCAACATTATATTTTTGGTACAACATAGAATTCTCATCATAAAGTATTTCAACAAGTTTCCTTTTCTTATACCTTGATCGATTGTGACGATAAATTTTGAATGATGACCAGTTAGATGTTAGAAGTTCGGTAATCCACATTTGATTACTGTTCATTTGTTTCAATGCATATTGCCAGCAACCATGATGTCGATGATTGTACCTTTTTGTATCCCGTATAGCGAAAGGTTGTAAACTTTTCATAAATGCGCCTGAATAGGTTGTGCGCACAATAGACATAGTGATGTGCTAAAACAAACAACAAAACAGATAACTTGATGAAATATCTAGATCGGAGGAACAGGTAGCCCAGATATTCAAGCAGGCCGCCGGTTGATTGCTTTGCTTTGTCAAAGATTATAAACTTTAATAACGATAAAATACCAGTTGTAGTAATTTTATTCCCGATCATCTAGAGTAGGAGCCTTGAAACCTCTTAAAAACTTGAAATCAGATCAATATACTTTTTTCGGTCACTGTTAAAATTATTTGTAATAACCTGTTAACTCATATGCAACATACATTTGAAAGGTTCAAGTAATCGATTATCATCTTGATGAGTGTTCTTATCAACTAATGTAATACCATGATGATAATCTTTATTACCTTTAAGTTGTCCTGAGATATCGTTTTTAGTAACTTTCCAGTGGAGCTACTGAGAATAGAATACTAGAAAATATAATGAGAAAATCATGACCATGAAGTAGTTTTCAGAAGAGACTTTGCTTTATCATCTAACAGTATTTACTAAAGTATGTTTTATGAAACTGTCTTGAAATATTTGCTATCCTCAAGAGGCGGACTGTATAGGTCATTAATTTCTTTAGTGTTTACAACTGATTTCAGTAATTTAGAGCCAAATGTGCTTCTGATATTATCTAATTATTCTTAAGCCTTCTTACAGTATGTCCAAAATGAATTTTTAACTGGGTGAATTACCATAATGGACAGGTTTCCCCATATCACTCAGTGTAGTAGATCACTTGAAGAAAATTGAACTAACCGTAACCTGGAAATGAGCTTTCGTAAACTTCTTACTTCGATTTGTCATGAAATTTAGTTCTTTAGATGTGTTTCGAATCATGACTGGGACTGAAAACTGCTTTTATCAACATACTTACTAGAAATGTCGAAAATCACAGATAAAATATTTTATATTCATTATTACTCGGATACATAATAAACTCTAAGTGATCAATTAGATAACAAGCCACCATTTTGAAATGGAACTGCTCATTAGTATATCTTAACTTCGCCTGATCAGAATTAGGTTTTTATAGATTTTAGATGTACGAGTTCTGTTTAGGAATTTGAATGAGTTTAAAGTATACATTTTTTATATCCGTCTTTTGAGTATGTAAGAGTTATATGCCTATGTAGCCACCAGTATCATAAGTTTTATCTGTCGAGCAAAACATTTTATGTAAATTTACCGGTGATTTGAAATTCACCGAAACCACATGTGATTTATTCTTGTCTTCAGATTGAATGAAAGTGTTAAAATACTTAGATAATAATTGGCTATTGATATGATTTAGATCTGTGAAAAATAATTGTTAGCATATTTTATGTGTTTTTAATCAATATTAGTTGAAAATGGAAGATAAAAATGTACTATGATGTTGTTTTGTTGAATATATGATCTTTTTAAACTGTTGAATTCACAAGTCGATTTAAACTAGACCAACATTGAAAACCTGAAAGCACTGGATGGCCATTTCGTCCCAGTATGGGACTCCTTAGCAGTGCGCATACACGATCTCTCACGCGGGACTCAAACACAGAACCTTTAGTCTCATGAGCCAACCCTTAACATCCAGACCAGTGACGCGTGATCCAGCGGTGTTAATTTCTAACTTTAATCGATCCATGATCTTGCGCAACCTTTCATTCATTGTCTGGAGTGGATAACTTTGTCCACTTAACACGGACTGCGCTCTCCTGGTTTCGACTTCTCACTAGAACTCTAAGGAATCCAGCTTGAAGCTATTCCCTTGAAACTAATAAGTTAATAACAGCTAAGTTCAAAAGGAGGGTTGTGAACAATCTAGTGCTGAATTACTTTATGATATTTTTGTTTCTATATCCCTCTATTTCCAGACACCATATAATATATTATAAGTATACAAAGAACTAAGCTATGAAACCAAGTATTACCGACTGGTATTTCGGAAAGACAAAAAATATTATAATGCAGAATCAAAATCGATCACAAAAATATAGTTAAATAACAATACTACCAAAATATTTGTTTATTCTAAACTTTCTTATTTCGTATTTAATCCATTATCGTACTTCTTTTTAACCAATATCCTTGATCATTATGAACTTTACTGTCTTCATGGATTTTTTATAATGATGTCGCCTAATAATTTACCAGCACATTCAGTAACAAAGGTGCATCAGTAATCTCAGTTTATTTAATCAATAAATGAATAGAGATATAAAATTAATGGTGAGACAATAATTTAGGTATCCAAAAAGAAAGTCATATTTCCTTCAGATCAGTCATTTAATTTGCAGTATAACTAGTGGTTTATCAGCAGTTTATCAAGATATAGAATATCAGATTTTGAAATAGGGTAGAAAAAATACTTCCAGTGAAATTCAACAACATTACGTAATTGACCTTAAGGGGTTGTGGAGATTGTTGAATTTAATTGAAACTATGAGATGATTCAACTTAAACCATCATTGGAAACTTGAAAGCGCTGGACTAGATATTAAGCAGTTATCTACAGGAGACAATGGAAGATAGTTACAAAACGTCGTGGATTGATTGAAGTTAGACATTAGAACCGTTAAATGATGACTTAGTAGTCTGAAGGTTAAGGGTTAGGAAAGCCCTGGGTTCGAGTCACAGTATATATTTTAATCAATTGTTTTAATTTAGTTTATAATCTTCATATATATAAATCTCATCAATGAAGTAGATTTACAAAATTAATCATCTTATATTGGTAAATATTTGATAAAAATTTAGGATAAATAAGTCATTATCTACACTAATTTGCAGCATAGTTTCACATTGATTTATGTAAACATTTAATATACGTCACTTACCTCATAAAAAGGTATTGAAATTCTTTCCTTTATATTTCCTTTATATCCTGTTCAACATATATATTATTCAAAGGATAGATAAATTATAACAATACACGTGACTCTGATAATGGTTAGAGATGTTGGTTATCGTTAAGTGATTATACAAAACTGGAATTTGTTCGGCCTAAATATTGGACATATTTATCTCAAGATTTTTCATTGTTTTTACAACTTGACACCAAAAAGAAAATACAATATTCTGATAGTAGATTTAGTTCTGGATACTTCAAAAAGTCAATCGCCAAAGCGTGAATTATTTCCTATCTACATGAGGTTAGAGAATAAACATAATAGAATTATTGATTTGATAATAACTTTACTTACTTACACCTGTTACCTCTCACGGAGGAACATAGACAAACCACCACCATTCTCCATTCAACCCTGTACTGGGCAATCGTTCCCAGTTGTTTCCAGTTACTACTCATCCTTTTCATATCTGCTCCCAATTCCCGATGCAGTGTGTTATTCGGCCCTCCTCTTTTCCGCTTCCCTTAAGAATTCCAAGTTAACGCTTGCGTCGTGATGCAGTTTGTTAATTTACGAAATGTATGACTTATCCACTTCCAACATCTTTTCGTGATTTCCTCCTCAACTGGAAGCGGGTTTGTCCTCTCCCACAGTAGGCTATTGCTGATGGTATCCGATCAACGGATATTGAGTATATTACGTAGACAGTGTTTTATAAATACTTGTACGTGTATGATGATGGTTGTGGTAGTTCTCCATGTTTCAACTTCATACAGTAGAGCTGTCTTGATGTTCGTATTGAAGATTATGACTCTGATATTAGTTGACAAACATTTGTTTTGAGTTCCATATGTTCTCCGATTGTAAGAATGTTTTTTGCTTTGCCAATCTTCGCCTTTACATCTGCATCTGATCCTCCTTGTTCATCGATGATGCACCCCAGATACGTCAATATTTCCAAATCTTCCAGAATTTCTCCATCAAGCGTGATTGAGTTGGTGTTTTCCGTGTTGTATTTGAGTATGTTGATGTTCACTGATGCAGAGGCTTCTGCTACACTGTTTGTCTTGATCTTCATTTATTCGTGTGCACGGGATAGAAAGGGCCAGGTTATCTGCGAAGTCTAAATCTTCTAACTGATTCCGAACTGTCCATTGTATTCCACGCTTTCCCTCAGATGTGAAGGTCTTCATAAACCAGTCAACCAGTATATCATAAAATAACTTTTTTTTGATAGCCTTAAATCATACATTTTACTGACATATATGGCTATCAGATATCTCTTTTAATAAAAAAGAAAACGTCTTTCATTCTATAGTAGCTAGTAGTTCTATTCACACAGGCAGTAGGAACAACAATAAAAAGGAAAACATACCATCTGAATTTTCAATTATTTCTATTTTGCACTGTAATTCGTTCTACTTTGTTTTTTTGTATCTTTTTAATACTACTACTACTACGCTAATGGACAATGATGGGGGTTATTTGAAATTTTAGTTTCCTTAAGGTTTAAATAGAGTAAGTAAAGAATATTTTTTATACATTTATATACTTTAACAGCGTAATAATTAAACACTAACTTAAGTAATTTACCAGTACACATTCGATAGTCAATGATTGTTTCTAACTATAAAACAATTACAAATTCTAAGTGCATAACGTTGTTTACATTGGAAATTTCCAAAGTTCTTTTGTTTTGAAAAAAAAATAAACATTATGACTGAATCTTTTATTTTATTCGGTTTATTGAATATATTTGATAAGTCATTAGTGAATTAACTTCCGTTTAACAAATTCATACGTGATTCATGTTATATTGGAATGTCAGAAAACTACTTTCTGGTATAAGAACTATATTGAATAATTCACATTTATTATTATTATTATTAAGGCACCAACTATCTAATTTCCTATTTATTATTATTAGTTTTACATTGTTCCACGATTATGTAATCAAATTGAATTTATTCTGGCAGTTGTAACTTAAGCATCACTAGAAATGTTTTTTTTAAGAATACTGTAGTGGACGATAACTCAAGTAGAGTAGACTAATTTAATGTTTTATGCATACTTGCACAGTGTCTCTTTAAAATATAAAAATCATACATTAAGTACATCATTTGTATTATTTTTTTGTGTGTTTTCTCTTACATACTCCATTATTCTTCTAGTTCTGTTGTTATTTTGATTGCTCTCCGATTTCCTTCCTGTTCCTTTCATTTCAATCTTCTGCCGGTAAGCATTCTACTTCTTGCTGCTTCCACATACTACTTATATCTATCCACTTACGAGGTGCATACTACAATATCATCATTAGAAAAACTTTTCGTGATATTGGTTGGTTTGGCATGAAATATAAGTAAGTAAGCACTAATGTTATTTAGCAGTTTCTTCTATTCATATAACATTAATGCATCAGAAACTTTTCATGATCTAATACTCACGTATGACACTGAGGTTCAGAAATAAGCCTTGTGTTTGTACAGTTCTGATGCTTTGTATTAGTATCACTGATCTCCTACTATCATTGTTCACTCAAAGTACTTTGTTTTTATACAGCACCTTTTTATGTAAGTCGATATTCCACCAATACTTTGATGTGCAAATCTGAACCCAACCAGATTTTAATAGATATTTCATTTGTTATTATCCTCTAAACAATACTAGGGTTTAAAGTATTAAACTTATGTATAAACTGACTTGTACTGTCTATAATAGACTGTTTACTATCTACTTTAATATTTCCGTTAATCATGAATGCTGAACTCAACGAAATAATGAATTATTCTTAAGAAGATTTGCTTATAAAGCATTACTATGTTTTATTGAATCGTTATATTTTAACAAGTTATTTCAATGTGGATGCATTTATTTTTGAAATCTATTGTCCATTGGAAGAATAATACGATTAAATAAATCTCTAACGTAGTGGCTACGAATGAATTTATGTTTTCCTTTGTTAAGCAAGAACAAAGATTTGTTTTCTGAATGATTAGACCGATAAAAATAACCTAAGCTCAAGTCTAGGTTACTTGACTTTGGTTCCATTCAAATAAGTACCCAAAATACCAAACTTCATACAGTGAAATACAATCAAATGTCACCTATATATGTATTTGTGAACGCGTAAAAAAGGTCTTAGGATTGTTGTCATGCATAAGTTAGAAAAACGTGTCAAACCTTAAAAAATGATGTTCATTCAGTGAGTGAAAGATTTTATGAGATCAAAGCTATCTCTATATAAGAATAGAGGAATCCATACTGATGTAAAATGGTTCGTGAGTAATATGTAAAAATCTATCCTCAGTTTGTAAGATGATATGTATTGATCGAAGGCCATCACAAAACAAAAAAACAAGTCTGAACAACACACAACACAATCACTCATTAATCTCTTTGTCGTTGTTTATTTTTCCCTCTAAAAAAAACAAGCACAGGTTTATCAAATTCCTTAGTATTATTGTTTTTTGATACACCATATAAATAGACTGTATATTATACAAGTTGTAACTTTTACTTACTCCTGTTACCCCCAATGGAGCATAGGTCGCCGACCAGCATTCTCCAACCCACTCTGTTCTGGGCCTTCCTTCCTAGTTCGATCCAGTTGTTGTTCACTCTTCTCATGTCTGTCTCCATTTCTCAACGAAATGTGTTCTTTGGTCTTCCTTTTCTCCTTTGGCCGTGAGGATTCCAAATGAGGGCTTACCTTGTGACGCAGTTGAGTGCATTCTTCAATGCGCGTCCTATTCACTTCCAAGTTGTAACATTACAGTATAAAGGGAAATCTAATTAGACTGGCTTATTAAATAAATCTTGGTAATTGAACAGAAGATGAACTAAGTATTCCCAAAAATACTGTAATGCAAGATGAAATGATAGGAAATTTTATGACGATATATAAAATTTCAAAAATTCTTTTCAACCTGATATATTTCTGAGTACATAACTGCTTTTTTATTTAGAAGTAACAAAAATCACTTGGGAATTTCACTATGCAATATTCGGTGTTTCCCTAATACTCATTGAGGTCCAAGAATAATCCCAGTATGCCTAAAACCTTCAAAAATTGTGGAGGTCATCATGATTAATATTTTAGTCCATTTGTTGATAGGTCTTAATGTGAGTGCATCCAAAAACACACATCTTCAATGTTGTGTAGACATTATAATTTTCTTGAACTACAATCAGAACTGTTATGTATAAATTAGGGTTATTTCGTACCTTAAATCCGTGAGATTTACATAAAATTGCTCAGTTTGTGAATGATTCAACAGAAAATGAAACATGTTGTTAATTGTCTCAGGATGGTTTCATTTGAAAATCCATGATTCTAGGCAACATTAGTTTCATCTAGGTCATTTACTCTGACGGTATCAAGATAAGTAGTATTGAAGTTGTATTTTATTCAGTAATGAGTCAACGGTTATATATTAGTATCACAAATCAGTTGAAATAGGTAACCTAATAAAAGTAATATGAGCATTGGTCAACTCCTTTTACTAAATCATTCTGAATACTTGATCTTATGCTGATTATTATTTTCTAAACATTCGTATCTTAATTGAGATCATGAATGGATCAATGTTAGACCACCATTGAAAACATGGAAGCACTGGTGAGCCGTTTCGTCCTAGTATAAGACTCTTCAGCAGTGCACACCACAATCCAGGACCTTCTGTCTCATACACAGACCTTTAACCTCTAGACCATTGAGCCGTCATCCAACAGTGTTAATATCTAATTTAAATCAATACAGAATAATGTAAGAGACGAGTTGAACTACTGAAAAATTATTAAAACGTTTAACAGAAGTATTGGAAGGTAAGATGAATGAATCATTCAATCGGGTGAAGGACAATAACAATTATCTCTAACCTAAGAAATATCATATTTTATCTGAAATATATAACTGAAATGAAACTATATGGAAATATACTAATGACGTTGCATATATATTACTCATTCTGCATAATCCATACATTTAAGTCAC